TGCGATTCATCAGGTTTGGAAGGACAGGTAGGAGAGCCAGAGCAAATTTCCTTAAGGGTGCTTTCATTTTACTTTTTTTTTCTTTAAAGAATGTCACCCTCTCAGGGTGGATGTTTGGATGCCATGGGAAGGAAGGAGGCCCTTGGCCCTAAGGAAAGGTGGGACCAGGTGTGGCCTTCATCCTGGATCCCCTGCCCAGATGGCCCAGACCGTGCTCTGTGCTGTAGAACAGTGGAGCAGCTCTGTAGCTGCTGTTTCGGCAGCACCTCGCGGCAACCTCACCGCCTTCTGCACGCTTCAGTAACGCCTCCCTAAGTCAGGGTTGCTGAGCAGCTCAGTGCACAAAGCGCTTATTAGCTAAGTGGTTAATGAGGTCTCATTAGGGATTTGTATTAAAAGCCCCGGAAAGTATAGTCTCAATCTCTGCTTACTCAGGGGAGGCAGTAATTGTGCGTGGGTATCTTGGCATCACTGTGGTGCCTTTCTGGGAGAATACTGTGGAGCCAGTTCTCACACTGGGCCAGTGGAGGCAGCCACACAGGGGCTGGGCAGGCGGTGCTGAGAGTGTAACTGACCTTGTTGCCTCTCCTCCCCTCTTTATTTCCATACAAGCCCAGGAAATCCTTTGTATCCTATAGCCCCTATCTGAGGGACCGAGTTGGGGGCCTAGCAGGGGATGGGATGTCAGACAAACAATGGCTTATTGTCCTGAGCCAACACACCTGAACCTTTCTTGGAAGCAAGGGCTAAATTTCTTGGCATCTGTGGCCTCCTGGAAATGCCAGAGAGTGTGCTCGGAAGCAGACTCTTAATCTGTCTCAGGCTGGGCCAGAGTAGAGGCAGGGGTAGAAGGGGGTGCCGGGCCTGACAGCTGCTCCCAAGAAGTGGCAGGCTTGGTAAACTCTGATGAGGTCCCATCTGTCCAAGTTCAAGGGATCAGACAATCCCAGCAAGCCTGTAGCCATGTCCTCTGCAGGCCCCAAAGCCATACACGTGGTCTGGAGTGGCCATTCCAAAGTTGCTGTAATGTTGGGTTTCCCAGTGAGAAAAGGGGTGAGGAGCTCCTGGCTTTTGTTCGCACCAGCCTGCCAGGCACTCCTTTCCCTGCCCAGCCTGATGTAGTGCCCGTGCTTTTGCTGGAATTCAGTGAGTTAGCCTGAGGCCCTGAGGATGGGCACTGCCACCAGGAATAGGTGAGCTGTGGCGAGCCCACCATCACTGCAGTTCCCTGGATTTCCTGCTTTATAGTTGAGACTTTCTCTGATCAGCTTAGATGTGGACTCCCAAGGGCAGTCTTGGGTTTTGATGGAGATCATCATTTCATCCACACACAAGTTACTGTGGTTTGTGGTGGTGACGGCTATCAACCCCTGCCCGGGGGCCTCGCAGCCTCCATTGCTGCTCTCTCTGGCCACATCTCCCGGAGGCTGGGTTTGGAAGCTGGGGAGGACCTAGAGCAGGCGTCCCTGCGGGCCGCATGCGGCCCCCTGAGGCCATTTATCCAGCCCCCCGCCGCACTTCAGGAAGGGGCACCTCTTTCATTGGTGGTCAGTGAGAGGAGCACAGTATGTGGCGGCCCTCCAACAGTCTGAGGGACAATGAACTGGCCCCCTGTGTAAAAAGTTTGGGGACACCTGACCTAGGGCTTCCCTCTCTCTAGGATCTTGGAATCAGCAACAGTGCTTCTAGAATCTAGCTATGTACATTTGCCTCCCCCAAGAAGAGGCTGCAGCAATACCAGGGTGGGCTTCCAGAGCTGGGAGTGAGGAGTGAAGGAGAGGCAAGCTGGGGTTTGCAGAAGGGTGTATGTGTAATTGTGCCATGCTCTTTGGGCTATCAGCTTCCACCCATTTCCCAGCTCTTTGACACCTTGGTGGGGGTCCAGGCATTCGTAGGTACCCTCCGGAGCACAAGCACCACCCACAACCCATCACTGGGCCATGCACCAGGGCCCACGCAGAGCTGCTGTCTCCCCATCCCCAAGCTGACCTTGCCTGGCCCTGGCTCTGGCGCCTGCTGCAGTCCCCATCCTGCCCTACCTGCCCAGCATGCGCCCATTCCACATACTGCTCTCGTTGGCAGGGTGGGCTGTGGTCCTGTCGGGAAGGACCTGGGAGCTTCAGGGCAGGGTGGGGCAGGCTGAATCTAGAAGAGGGAAAAGAGAGAGGAAACAAGTATAAGGAAGGAAACAAAGCTGCTTCTCACCACACTCACACCACTCACTTGTGGTCACCAAATAGAGTGGGGATGTTTCTCCCCACCAACAAAATCTATAAATGGGTTTTCCTTTAGTTCTGGAAGCCATCTTTGCAAATTAGTTGAACCTGAGGAGGAAAACGCGGTTACCGGTTTATTATACAGGATCTTATCAAGGATACAGAGGAGCAGCCAGGTGAGGAGAGGCACAGGGCAGGGCATGTAGGAAAGAGCAGGTGCCTCCACACCCTCTTTGGGGTATCGCCCTTCAGGGGCCTCCACTCTCCAGAAGCTCTAAACCCTATCCTTTTTTGGTTTCTATGGAGGCTTCGTTAAGAAGGCGTGATCGATTACATCATTGGCCACTGGTGATCAATTCAACCTTGAGCCCCTCTGCCCTCATAGGCCAGTGTGTGGGACTGAAAGTTCCAACTCTTTAATCATAGAGTTGGTTCCTCTGGCAACCAGCCCCATTCTGAAGCTATCCAGGAGCTCAAGAGTTGCCTCGTTCCAGCAAAGGATGCTCCTATCACCCAGGAAATCCCAGGGGATTTAGGAGCTCTGTATCAGAAGCTGCTGTCACTCAGGAAGGTACCAAGGTCTTAGGAGCTCTGCCTCAGGAACCAGGGGACAGAGCCCAAACATGTATTTTCGACAATATCACAATATCACTCAAGGTAGTCTAGGCCCTGAGCCTGCTAAGTGCCAGGTGCTAGGACACGTATTCTCTCACTTGGTCCTTCCCACAGACTCAGGAGACAGGTACAACTCTCCCCATTTTACTAAATGAGGAACTAGGCTCAGAAGTTCTGTGCTTCATGCCGAGTCTCAGCACTGGCTCGTGGTGGAGCTGGACCCGAACCTTTCCCCTGGTATTGCTGGTCCCTGAGCAGCTGCCTGTGGCCCTCATGGGACAAGGGGTCTCTGGAGGAGGGCGGCTGCAATCTGGCAGTCTAGCTTTCTGTCTGAGGGGGCTTGGCTCCTGATTTCCTTCTCTTTGCTTGGTTTGTCTGACTTATGGGCTTTTGGGTAATGATTGGGTCTGAGCACCACGTTTACCCCATGCCCCCGATGAGCAAAGCTGTGAAGGCCCCAGGGCTGGGGGGCAGGTGACCAGAGTACAGTCTGGAATCTTGAATTTATTTGCTAAGAGGTCTCAGATAGACCCTTCCCCTCTCTGGGATTCATGTGCACAACTGTATGTACGTGAAAGGACTTTTGGGTTTTAATCTTTTTTTTCCTAATTTTTTTCTTGTGTTAAAATACGCATGACATAAAATGTACCACCTTAACCATTTTTAAGGGTACAGTTTAGTGGCATTAAATACATCCTTCATGTGCCACCCTCACCATCCTCCTGCTCCAGAACTCTTCTGTAAAACTGGAACTCTGTACTCATTAAACAGCAGTAGCCACCGCTCTACTGCCTGTGTCTATGGATTTCAACTACTCTAGGCACCACCTACAAGTGGAATCCTACGGTACTTGTCTTTTCGCGGCCACGGTTTTATTTCTTTTCTTTTCTCCATCTGGCTGGTTTGCTTCTCCGGGGTTGTGGGGTGCTGTTTGCATGTGGGTGAGGAGCCCTCTCCCCATCCATCCGGCCTGTGTTTTCCTCCTGGTGCTAACTGGCCTCTATCTTTGTCTCTGTCTCCTCTGCCTCCGCTCTTGGTTAGCTGACGGTAGGGAAAGTGTCCAGCGGAATAGGGGCTGCAGCTGAAGTCCTGGTCAATCTGTACATGAATGATCACAGACCTAAGGCCCAGGCCACCTCTCCAGACCTGGTAAGGACATGCAACCCCAGCCTTCACCCACAGACACTGGCTCTGGCATTCCAGGGCGGGCACATGGGATGTGGAGCAGATGGCCTGGTCCTCCCCAGGCTCCTCTTCTCTTGGGACCAGAAGGAGCTGAGAATGAGCTGGATCTGGGCAGAAGTTAGAGGGAGGCTGCATTTCCTTAAAGACAGACCTCAATCAGGTCCCCTGTGGTCTTTTGGAAAACAGAGCATCTTCCTGCTGTCCGTGGCTCTGGAGAACGGCCTGGTAGGAAGGCCCAGGTGAGGCTGTGAGCATAATTGAATGGCCCTCACTTTCAGTGTTGCGCGTCAACCTGAACAGCCTCTTTACATTGGATTGAGAAAAAAAGTCATGGGAAAACCATCCCTTTGATTTGAATTCTCACTTTCTCTAAACTAAGCTGCTCGCTGCCATCACCAAGAATTTTAGTTGACAATTCTTTCAGTTTCCTTTTGGCACATCGCTCTGGAATTGCCCAGGGGTACTGCTGCCCTGGCCTGTGTCCTTCCAATTCACAATTAGAACGATAACTGACCAGATTTGATGCCACCAGCTTTCCGTATCCGACCTGTGCCACTGCAGGGGAACAGGACACCTAAAACATCAGAGACCTTTGTCCAAAACCAGGTGACACTTAATCCCCGCGACAGATCCCGGAAAGAACATCATGGGGTGGACAGGTGTGTGCATGAGGCCCACTCTGTCAGACCAGAGACACCACTCCCACCCCCAAACCAGAGCGGCCAACCTGGGGGCGAGCCCCTCCCGGCCCACCTTGTACTCTCCAACCTGCCAGCGAGGAGAGTTAACAGCAGCCCCTGCAGAGTTGGGGTCTGGATTGAGGGCGTATCGTCCCACCCCTCCCTCTTTGCTGCAGTAGCAGGAGCAGACAGTAGAAGCCCATGAGGTCCCCAGCGTTCAGTCTGGAATTTCTAAAAGCCTCAACCTGGCATTTCAAGGCTCAGGATAAGCTCTAACACACCGCTCTTCTCTCCCCATCCCCAGGAATCAATGCGAAAGTCATTTCCCCTGAACCTGGGAGGCAGTGACACGTGTTACTTCTGCAAGAAGCGTGTGTACGTGATGGAGCGGCTGAGCGCCGAGGGCCACTTCTTCCACCGGGAGTGTTTCCGCTGCAGCGTCTGCGCTACCACCTTGCGTCTGGCCGCCTACACCTTTGACTGCGACGAAGGTAACCCCAGGGGCCAGGGCAGCACTGGGCTCTGGACTTGGCCTCAGATGTGACCTTGGCCTGTCCCTCTGGAGGCTCTAGGACACCCAACACATCCTCAACAGGAAGCATGATGTCATCAGGAAGGCTGTTCAGGGAGAGTAGGAGCTCCTGCTAGAAGTCAGGGGCTGCCTGTGGTCCTGGGGAAGGGGAAGCACCAGCGCTGCAGTGTGGATACTAGGTCTTGGTGGGCACCTCCTGTGTGCCTGGGGCTCTCTGTACCTCTTCTTACGCAGCCTCACCACCTTCCACTGTCCCTGCGTGGTCAAGAAAATCAAACCTGATACCCTCCGTTGCATGCTCAGCACCACACCTGGCATGCAGTCAGGTTCAATGACGCAGGGTTAATATTACTTACATAGTATATGTTATAAAATATCCATCATGACATTCCCTCTGGTAAGTGCCCTAACAGAGATCCGTGATGGAGGAATCATGCTCATTGGAATGAACAATTATTTTCTAACTTTCAGCACTTGATATTTGCTCTGTCATCTATAGCGAGAGGCAGTATAGCATGGCATTCACATTTACACGCCCTCAAACTAAACTGCCTGGGTTTGACTCGACTGTACCACCTTTTAGCCATGGAACCTTGGGCCTGTCACTTAAACTCTTGGTCCTCCAGATTCCTCATCTGTAAAATGAGGTTAACGGTAGTCCTTAGCTCTCAGGGTGGCTGTGAGAACTAAAGAGTTAATTTATGTAAGCATGTGTAGCATTGTGCCTGGCATAAAGTCATTCCTATGTAAGTGTCCCCTACTGTTACCATTTTTACCATTGCTATGGTTACCAGCGTAGCAGTGAGCAAGGAAGGCTTTTCTGGAAGGCGTACAGTGGTCCTGGGCAGTGGCCAGCTTCCCAGCGTGTGCCCTGTCTGGGTCTTTTCCTCCCCATCAGTGCTGCCATTTGCCCTCAGCCTTTCCCACCTGCCAGGGATTCCACAAAGAAGGATTGAGGGTGTTCATACGCGATGCTGTCCATTTTGCTGCCTGGCAATGGGTCTTTTGAAGAAACTTGGCCTCAGTTTGATTTGGGGATTTTTTTTTTTAATGTTGTCCTATTTATCACAAAGGATGCAGAGGAGCAGCCAGATGGAAGAGAGGTATGAGGTTTGGTAAGGGAGAAGGGGCTCAGAGCTCCCATGCCCTGTCCAGGTACAGGCATGCTGCCCTACGGGAGCCAGCATGCGTCCAGCGTCTAGAAGTTCTGCTTGCTTTGAAGACCTTAGATACATCCCCGGGAGCCCTGCATTGCTGGAGCTTGTCTCTGAGGCAGCAAAGGGCCCTGCTACTTCATCTCAGTGCCACTTGTTTAAGGAAGGTGACGGAAGTTCGAGCCGCCCTGGGCTGTTTTCGCCATTGCTCTTTTCTGACTTGAACAGTGGCAGGCACTTGGCTTTTGTCAACGGCGGCTCTAGTTCACAGGAGAAAAATCTTTCTGTATGTGTGTGCCTCTTTTTATAGGCAAGTTTTACTGCAAGCCTCACTTCATTCACTGCAAAGCCAATAGCAAACAACGGAAGAGACGGGCAGAGCTGAAGCAACAAAGAGAGGTATGTTTGTCTCACGCGTGCGGTGAAACGGGGAAGGCCCCTTGATAAGGCAAGCGTTTCCAGGGATCCTCAAAGTCAGGCCAGCTTTTCTGGCTCTGGAGGGATTGAGATGACTCACAGATGAAGAAGAAAGCCTCGGCTTCCTGGTGTGGAGGGTTCTTTTGCTTCGGTCTGTTCCACAGCCTCTGGGGCGTGTCCCATTCCAGGTGAGCTCCCAGGGGAGTAGCCATGCTGGCGTCTCATAAGAAGCCTAGAAGAGCTTGCCCACGTGATAGGGATGGGGTGATATGCTCAGCCACACAAAAGCCATGGTCCTCTATACCTGGAGCCCACCTGGCCACAAGGTGCTGTTTGTAAGAATGCCTGGTATGGGACCGACCCTTCTACAGTTTCCAACTCCTCTCCCAGGCTCCTGAAGTTAAAAAAGTGACCAACCCACTGCATTTATAGATGGTTCGTGGAAGCATCTCTTCCGGGATCTCTTAACAAATATATTCTCTCTCGCTTGATTAATTATCTACCACTAGCAACAACCACTAGCAATAACTTAAAACTTTTTTCTAGTTACCCAAATATATAGGTTCAATGTAAAAAATGGGAATGAAAGACTATAAAGAAGCAAAGAGAAATCACCTGTGACCACTCTACCCTGGGAAAGCCACAGTTCACATTTTGTAACATCCCTTTCCAGGCTCTTTTCTATGTGAATATATTTTAAGCCAAGTGGAATCCTATGCCTACAGTTTTATATCCTTCCTTTTCTACACTAACTCTACATCAAGAATAGTTTCCCATGACATTAAAAATTCTGTTGGAGGGCTGAGCACGGTGGCTCACACCTGTAATCCCAGCACTTTGGGAGGCTGAGGTGGGTAGATCATGAAGTCAGGAGTTTGAGACCAGCCTGACCACATGGTGAAAACTCATCTCTACTAAAAATACAAAAATTAGCTGGGTGTGATGGCACGTGCCTGTAATCCCAGCTACTTGGGAAGCTGAGACAGGAGAATCACTTGAACTCAGGAGGTAGAGGTGGCAATGAGCCAAGACTGCACCATTGCACTCCAGCCTGGGACAACAGAGCAAGACTCCATCTCAAAAAAAAAAAATTTCTCTTGGAGCATAATTTTTAATACTTTTAGAAGATTCTCATCTATAAATGGTCAATAATTTACTTCACTACTCTGTATTACTGGATCTTCACACCATTTGAATTTTTTATCTTATAAATGTTTTTACAATGCATATCCCAGTATGCATATCGTTATCCATATTTTAAATTATTTACTTGATGTGTATCATTAGGAGTGAGACTGCTGATCAGAGGCATGCATATTTTTGAAGGCTCGTGACCCCTGTGGCCAGTTGGCCCCGTGGAATAGCTGTGCCCATGTTCAGCACCAGCTTCAGCATGAGTGGGGGGCTGAGATGATTGTGGGGCTGGCTGCAGGGTCTGTCGAGTTCGGTTTGTCTTGGCTCTCTGTGTGCTTTGCTGAAGCGGTCCTCTGGAAGACTTGTGGACTTGCCCTCATTTCGATCTCTTTCTCAGGAGGAGGCGACATGGCAAGAGCAGGAAGCCGCTCGACGAGACACTCCCACCGAAAGTTCTTGCGCCGTGGCCGCCATTGGCACCCCGGAAGGCAGCCCCCCAGGTATCTCCACCTCCTTCTTTAGGAAGGCGCTGGGCTGGCCCCTCAGGCTGCCGAGGGACCTGCGTAACTGGATGCAGGGACTCCTGCGAGCCATTGGCCTCCATGTCAGGGACAATGCTTACAACTACTGCTACATGTACGAGCTCCTGAGCCTGGGGCTGCCGCTCCTCTGGGCGTTCTCTGAGGTCCTGGCAGCCATGTACAGGGAATCAGAGGTCTCCCTTGAGAGCATCCGCGACTGGGTGCTCAGGTGCTTCCCAGTCAAGCTCCGCTGACACGCCTGGCTGCCCCAAAGTGCCTTCACATTTCCAGGGTTCAGATGGCAGTGCGTCTGCAGTTTGCTCAGGCTCTGGCCGGGAAGCCTAGCATTCTCTAAGCAATTAGCTCAAAGCCAAAGAGCTTCACGTGGGCCACTCCGCCTGGCCTTATCAGGGTGAACATCTACTCATGATGCCAGGGCCAGCGGCGACATGAAGGATCTTTTCTATAGTTTTGTACTTTTATATGTATACACCAAAGTGAGCCGTATTTCTGGGTTTACATTTCAATTTTTTAATAAGCCTAGAGAAAGCATTTTTTATATGAGTGTCAGTTTTTCTAAATATGGAGGTTTGAAGTTTGTAACCAGCTTTATAAACCCCTTCAACCTTGCAGTGAGTTGGCAGAGCCACTGCCTGCTGAGTGAATGATTTGGGATTTTACATACATGAAAGGGAGTGTGCCACCTCCTGACCAGTGCCTTTTGACTTAGGTGCCCAGATGCCACTTGTCAACAGCGGGATACTTTCTATAACATGAAAGCATAATTATTTTAGAAGAAGAGAGTAAAGTGCAGAATAGAATTCAACCTACAAAAGCACAGAGTAGTGTGTGGTTGGCTGTTATCTGTCCCCCTGCAGGGAGGACTATTTTGCTCCCTTGTTTTGATGTTAAATAATACCTTAAAGGCTTCTCCACCCTATATCAAATCACAGCCAAATGACAAAGAACCAAGGGTTTCAACAGATTTTACAAACATATATTTTCCCTTCCCACTAATGGGCACGGCAGTGCAAGCCCACTGGGGTTTGACCACAGAGCTGACGCGGTGCTGAAGATGAGCACTTTCAGCTGATGTCATTTTAGCCCCTGCGGCTCCCATCAGATCCCCCAGCCAGGCTGCAGGCTGAGCCAAGGGCATGCTGGTTCCATATGGGTCAGGCCGAGTGGAGTGGAAGACTCTGCCCGCTCATGTGGTGTCCTTAGAGACTGAGGGGGTTTGTTAGCACATCGGGTTGTTGCTGGGAAGCGTGGCCTGCCCAGTGAGCGTTGCCCGTGGACATCGGGACTGCTTAGCTGCTCTACTGCCGTGCATATGTGGTCAAAATAGAAACCATTTTCACACTGCCCCGGCAAAGGAATGGGTCTGACCTCCAGGGGAAGCTCTACTGTATCTTGACTGGCAGGGAGGGCTGGGAGTGGAAGCTGTTTATGGACTGATCCAAAGGAAACATGCCTTAGTAAGGGTAAAAATGAACATGTAGGCCCAGCTACATTCCTCACTCTGGGTGTCTGGAAGAGTCCTCAGCTCTGCCTACTCCACGCTGCCTAGACATGCGCAGCTGCAGGGTCTGGCTGAACAGTCAAGAGGCTGCTGGAGAAAGGCCGTCTGCAGTGCTCAGTGTATCTGGAGTTGCTGAACCCAAGATAGCTCTATGCAGTTATCACTAGAGATGCCTCTGGATTAACTAAGAGGGATGCGTGGGTGTGGGTGAGGAGCCAGAGCTCTTGAGAGCTTTGAGATGATAAGTTTATATGGGATGGAAAGAAAGAAGGAAGTGCATTTCTGCAAATACTTCCCTGAAATCCTTGGGAAGAACAGAGGCATGGTCATGGCCAACTCTGTGGGAGCTGGCACCTCTGTCCTTGCTGCCACTGTTCTCAGTCCCTTGACTTGCATTGTGTTCTCTCCAATTTTTGCTGGGATTTTAATGTTTGACATGGTGGGAGGAGTCCTTGATTCCTTTTGTTTGATCACAGAAAGTAAATTCTCGAGGTCATGATGTGAACAGCCATGTTATTGTGATTATCTTCAGCTCAGGGTAGGCTGAGATGCTTTGTGGAGTGCTCCATGAAGCCAGAGTCAGAATCTCTAAGACTGTCATGTACAGCCATAAGGAGACTGGTTTGATTTACTGTGGTGAGACAGGGTGTGCCTGTCAGGAGTTTGAGATGTTGGTATGCTCTGAGACCTTGAACCTTTCTGGTGGGCAGCATCAGCACGCAGGGGTGGACCCCAGAGGGTGAGTGCCTCGAGGCCTCCACAACATCTTTAAGAATAAGAAGGAGATGCTAGAGTAAAATGGGAGCAGAGAGGATATCGGGGACAAGTCGCAAACTGCGTGCATCCACTCTTATAAGTAAGTAGCTGGTGACAACCAGAAAGGTTCATCTCTCCTAAGCAAACAGGGACGTTTCCCTTTTTCAGTAATTGCCTTATTTTCAACGCCAGTGCCTTCTCGTGATGTTCATTTCCTTTTCTCCCCACACTAAGATGCCTTTTCTGTCTTTCTCTTTCCAATCTCACACCATGGCCATCAGTTCATTTCAGCCTTCCAGTGCTACACCCACTTCTTGGCTGACACATTTCTGCTCTGAGGTGACTGGTTTTCTTGCCAATTTTCAGAGAGTGGTACTAACCCCCCACCCGCTTTCCGCACCCCGCCCTCCCCGCCAGTGGTAACCGGTTGCGCTAAGTGTGTCTTGCGTACTGATGGACTCATTTGGTGGCATGGCTGGTTAACAGCATGGGGGAGGTGTTCAGCTTCAGAGTCATGTCTGTGTCTATTTCCTGTGGAGCCGGCAGCGTGGTCAATCCCAAGCGCATGTCCCGCCTCTCCTCTCTCCCTTGGGCATACTTGCGTGCATGCTTTTCCAGTTGCACCTGCGAAGCCACCTTACTTTCTTGGGAGGGTTGACCCTGATCTTGAGACAGTACCATGAGGGGGGCTCCGTCACCTTTGAAAAGAACACTTTTTGAGCAGCCTCGAAAAGTTCATACACACCAGCCCCTTCTTAAATTGGCTCTAATGTAAAGATTGTTAATGTCATTGATCAGAACCATAGGTGATTCTTTGGAGGGATTTAAGAAACGTAATTACTCCAGGCCTCATCCCAAGCTTGACCCATGCTCTGCAGGTTGAACATGCGATCACAAATATCCCAGCACGTCCTGCCTCGGTTGGGACCTGCACTGTAGATGAAGGGTTTTGCTGTGGCTTTTCTTATCTGCTTTGGTTCATAAAGCCCCAGATGATGCCAGAGCTTCAGTTAGAGCCATCTTCATCCCAAGCAGGGATATCTTTGAGAAATGACCCAGTTCTGCCCCAGGCCCCTGTGACTCTTCTTAAAGCACACATTCCTGCTGACTCTTGTACCTGCGGCAGCGGGATAATCACTAACATGCTCTCAATGAGAAACAACACACCAAGCACAGTGGAGCTGTCCTAGGCAACCCCTGTGGTCTCAGACTGGTGGGCGTCTGTCCTGCACGCAACCCAGACCGCCCCGACCCCTGGGCCTGCCTGCCCGGCCCTGCATGCTGCACGCTCGCTGCGTTTGTGCAGATCCTGGCCAGTACGAAGTTGTTGCTCTTGTCTTATCTTCTCTTACAGAGTCTCCCTCCCTTTATAGAATGTCAACCAAAGAGTGCCCTCCTCCCCCTCAGCCTCCTCTTTAGCTAGCCTCCCCACCTCATCACTACGCATGTCTGTGACCTTTGGTAATCATTTACAGTGCCACACGGAACCCTGTATTTTGCACACAGCAAAACAATGTTTAGCTTTATTTATGGTATTTGATGCTGTAAATGGAAATAAATATTGTTCTTTATAAAGCTCATTGTTTCCTCTCTTCTTTGCCGTGGAAGCTTCTAAAACCTCACACACAGGGATTGGGTCCCTTTTCCCGTAACTGCTGGCGGGACTTGCACTTGTGGTGACACGGGACTCTGGGGCTGCGCTGAGCACTCTGAAAGGAAATATTACCCAGGGGTAATATTTGGAAACTGTCACCAACGCTCCTGGGCCAGGCTTTGGGGTCTCTTTCTTGAACACTCATTGTACTTTGCTGTTCTAGATGCTGGGCATAGTGAGTGAGGCAGTGTCCCCTCGGCGATTAGAAGCAGACTGTATTGACAGCTACCTGCACCCAATTACCCCACACATCCAAGCGTGGCTCTACAGGAAAGCCTTCTCTATGAACCTTACACTAATTTAGGCTCCCATATAGCAAAGGTTGGTCTCGAACATTTCACACTGGTCCACAGCTGAGTGGAGAGTGGAAGGTAAGGAGGAAGGACTGGGCATCAGTCTCAGGATGGCAGTGAACTTGGCAGTGTTTGCATCAGCCTGTCCTTTATTCCTCAGAGACCTCTCCTGTCCCCAAAGCCTCAGGGCATTCGGTGTCTATGGTGTGAGGCCCTTCCCTAGTGCCACCCTAAGTATGACATCCATGGCAGGTCCCGGGCAACTCCAGGCTGTGTTCAAGGGAAAGATTTGGAGCCTCACTTGGCTAGCCTGGGCAGTGCCAAAATCATCTGGTCCTCAGCCTCCCCCAGGTGGGATGCCTGCCATTGCCTGGCTGGGTGTAGCTGGGCCTCTGACACTGGTATGAAAAGTCCCCTGTGAACTTCATGAGGTCCTTGGCACCTCCAAATAGGTGTTCCTGAGGCTCTGGTCTCTGATGCCTGGATCTACCTTGAGGGCTGCCTCAGGTCATGACCAAGGGTCCTGTACTCTTACCCAGGTGACACATTTTCACTTCCATTCAAGGAAGGATGTTAGGGACTGTATGTCAGGTGCTGGGCTGCGCAAGTGACTCCTCCCTTTATGCATTCATTTATTCAGCAAATGTTTGTTCTGGGCCTCATTCCAAGCCCTAGATACAGCAGGGAACCATGCAAAGTCCTCACACTTCCCTGCACCTTAGAAATGTGGCTCATTATTGCTGTACTAGATGAGATCTGTTGTATTTACCTGTGCATGTGCTCATTTGTTTATTCAACTATGTGATCTTTCCTGAGCATCTGCTATGGAGTAGGTCTACAGCAGGGAATAAAGCAGACAAAAATCCTCACTTTATTGTCAAAGCGTGACACCCCAAAAGGTGTTATTCTAATAAAGGGGTCCGCAGTCACGACATGTGAGGACTATTTTATGCTGATCTTGCCAGTCCTTCCCAGCCCTGGAGACACAAGATTCATTAGCATGTTAAGTCTCTGAGGCATATTCATAGAGAAATTTAATCAACTTTGTGAAAGTCAGCTGTTCCATACTTATTTGAACATCTTGTTTTTTTTTTTTTTTTTAATATTGCATTCTACATACATAGTTTTGGTACAGTAGTCTTTAATTAAGAGATTGGATTAAAGACTTCAAACTTTAAAAGTAAAACCATAGAATTAAATATTAAATAGAATTAAATATTGATTAGATCTGGGGCGATAAGTTTCTAAGCGTGAATCCTCTAATAGGAAGAACACATAGGAAAAACATGACATAAATCTGATTGTATGAGTTTTTAAAACTTAATGTAGAATAATAAGTATTAAGTAGCCCACTAGACTAGGGAAGAATGTGAATCAAATGTTATAACAAAGAAGTTCATTGCATGGTAATTTCAAAATTCATTAAAAACAGATGTTCATGGGCACCTTTCACAGTGTAGATGATCAGTTAATATTTGTTGATTAAAGAGTCAATGATAAATAGGCAAAGGCTATGAATAGGCAGTTTACACTTAAGCAAATTTTAAAAAGTAAATAGTAAAAAGAAAAAGCATTTACAAAAGTATTCCTACTGGTTTTTAAAGGAAGTAAATTAATTATGGTGCACACGGGCCAGGTGTGGTAGCTCACGCCTGTAATCCCAGCACTTTGTGAGGCTGAGGCGGGCAGATCACTTGAGGTCAGGAGTTCAAGACCAGCCTGACCAACATGACAAAACCCTGTCTCTACTGAAAAAAAAAAAAAAAAAGAAATAACAAAAATTAGCTGAGCATGGTGGCGCATGCCTTTAATTCCAACTATTTAGGAGGCTGAGCTCAGCACGAGAATCACTTGAACCCCTGAGGCGGAGGTTGCAGTGAGCTGAGATTGCGCCACTGCACTCCAGCTTGGGTGATGGAGTGAGACTCTGTCTCAAAAAGAAAATAATAAAAATCACGGTTCACCTCCTGAATTAGTAAAGAAAAAAGTAAAATTGACGGTAAGAAAAAAATATGAACTTCATCCCAAGTATAGAGTAAAAGGTAAACTGGGAGAATCTTTTTCTGGGAAGCAATATGACAACCCTGATTAAGATTCAGAAAAAGGTTCTGACCTTTTGGCCTAGTAATTCTACTGTAGAGAATTTATCCTGAGGGAATAATCTGACAGAAGAAATAAATCTCTGTGCAATTTGAATGTATAAGTTGATCAACCAGAGTGGGTGGACTGTTCTCCTTTATTTCTGTAAACTCATTCATTTTTACAACTTAAGAAAAAAAGGCTTAAGTATATAAAAGAAGTTACTGCATCTTATCCCGCCCCCTCAGACAGCTGTTACAAAGGGAATGTTTTCTCTGTGCCAGGGACTGGGCCAAGAACTTTATGTGCAGAACTTCATTAGCTCTTCACCTCCTTGTGGCAACCTTGAGGTCAGTAGTGATCTTAAAGAAGCTCCTGTTAAAGACATTCACTGATACTAGGGAGGCAAGGCGAGTCTAGTGCCACATCTTCCACCCTGAAGGACTGAGTCCCACAGCCCAGGCTAGGAGTCAGGTGCCTGCTCTAGGAGGACCTTGGTCATGATGAGGGCCTGGGCTCCACCAGAGACCAGGCTTTGCTCCCAGCACTTGGTACTGACTCAGTGGCATTGCACAGGTTCCTCTGTGGACTGGGGCTAAGGATGCCTCCAGTGGAGGGTTTTGGAAGGTGTTTGGCTCTCAGGACAGCAAGATCTCTGTGGCATGTTCTAGATAGCACTTTCCTGATTTTGCGCATCATGGAGTGTCCAGAGGAAGACTTGTCTCGGGCATTCTCGATTAACTGGGGCTCAGAACACCTGACAGGGCATCTGAGCCTGGGAACTGGATAGCAGTCCTGATTCACGCTTGGTGGCACTATCTGTTTTTCTCCGGTGTTCTGATTCCCCAGCCTTCTTAAAGGCAACAGCCACCTCCCTCGGACACCCAGGCCTCAGCTTTGGGGCTCCCTTTTCTCCCACCACCTGCCAGCAGACTTTAGTATTGCCTCGGTGAATGCCCAAGTCTCAGCAAAGAGGGGGCACAGGCTCTCACTTTGTGCCCAGCTGCCCACTTGACACCCACGCCTGATGTCTGCTGTGCATGTCCGACCCCAATGCCCACCTCCAACTGCTGATTTTCCCCCAAAACAGGCTGCACCCTCACAGCTTTGCCATTGCTGGAAACTGCAATTCTCCTTTTCTTGTTTCTCAGCCCAAAGGCCCTGGAGGCATTCTTGACTCTTTGTTCTCTTGATGCCACACCACATCCATCAGCAAATTCGAGGAACATCCAGAACCTGTCCACTCCTCACCGCCTCCACACTAACCGGCCTCAGCCGCTGTCATCCAAGTTATTGCAGCCACCCCTCTGAGGCCTTCTGCTTCTCCCTTCATCCCTCAACCTCTTCAACAAAACAGCTAGATTATCCTTTTATTTATTTATTTATTTATTTATTTATATTTGTTTTGAGACAGTTTCTCACTCTGTCACCCAGGCTGGAATGCAGTGGGTGGCATGATCTCAGCTCATGGCAACCTCTGCCTCCCAGATTTAAATGATTCTCATGCCTCAGCCTCCCAAGTAGCTGAGACTACAGGCACCTGCCACCATACCCAGTTAACTTTTTGTAATTTTCATAGTGACAGGGTTTCGTCATGTTGGCCAGGCTGTTCTCGAACTCCCGACCTCAAGTGATCCTCCCACCTCAGTTTCCCAAAGTGCTGGGATTACAGGTGTGAGCCACTGTGCCTGGCCTGGATGATCCTTTTAGAATGTACATCTCATCACTGCTCAAAACCCTCTAGCAGCTCTTCAGCTCACTGCAAGCAAAGACCAAAGGCATGATGGATTCAAAGGGCTCTATGGGGTCTGGCCCCTAGTCTGACCTCTCCTACTTGCCCTTGCATACTCTGACCCAGCCATATTCTCCCTTAGAGCCTTTGTGCTGTCTCTTCCCTCTGCCAACAACGCCTTTCCCCAGCATTCATATGGCTAAGCCTGTCCCTTATTCAAAATCTGTCCATCCCCAATCCCCACAGTGCTGTCTCCCTTTAGTCCTCAGACTTACACTCCCCGGCAGTCCTGCTCCCTCTTACCCTACTAGACAGTTTTTCTACCGCATGCATGTGTTGCCTTCTACATATTATTGTATCATTCACTCCTTTATTGTGTGTATTGCTTACTTATATTTTCCAACCTTGCTGGAATGCAAGCCCCATGAGGGCAGATGTCTTGGTTTCCTTCGAATGTTTGGATAACCCCTACAGAACAGCACTTGCTTAGCACATAGAGGGCCCTCAAAAAATGCGTTTAGAATATACACCCTCTGTCCTGGACCTCAGATAGCAGAGCATGCACCCATCTCGGGCTGAGGAAGGTCTGGCTGGCGTCCAGCATGTTCAGGACGGAGACCTGGAGGAAGAGAAGTCTGACGTGGTGTGTCCCGGCTGCCGCTGCAGACTCGCTGATTGTGAGAATGGAGTTGTGATGTTGCTTCTGTTTTGCCTTCTGAGGGCATCGTCTCCATGTACATCTCCTGACAGAGCTGGGTCTGCATAGCAGCAGGCGGGCCTCAGCTGCCTCCTCTCAGGGACAAGCTGAGGTTGCAGCAGAGA